CAGGACGATATCACGACGGACGATAAGACGAGATGAAAGGTAACTGCGTAATCTGTGCCGTAGAAACCGGAAGTGCTTGTGGAGGAAACATCATGGAATCAACGTTTACCGCCAAACTACTATTCGAAGATTGCTTCAGCATGGTTGCCGAGCAAGACGAAAGGTCCAAGTGTCCATGTCTATCTGCTCCAAGCACAGAGAGTTATCCAACGTCGCTGACCTAGGGGACACAGACACACAGTAGACAACAGCTTGAACACTGGCAACATGTAATCTTTACAGATGAAAGCCTCTATATCCTTGACCGTATAGATGGAAGACAAAGGGCTTTGGAGATTACGTGGCGAGAACCTCTGCACTGATTGCCTCCATGAAACAAATCAAGCTGAGGGCGGCTCAGTAATGCCATGGGTCAGTATAAGGAGGAAAAACGCCATTTCTGGAGCGGACTGGAAGCGTCAACGCTGTCGTGTATCGAGACATCATGGAGAACCATTGCTTCCACCACACGCAAGAAGGGTCTATGGAAAGAAATTTCAGGTGCAAGACAACAACACTAGACCACAAAGGGCAGCTACTGTGAGATTATTCCTTGATACAGAGGGGGTGCATGCAGCAGATTCCATGGCCTGCTTGCTGCCCTGGTAGTACCCTATTTAGCATGCCTGGGATGGTCTAGCCTAGCCCGACCCATCAATGAGAAGGACAATATTCCTCAAACTCTACAGGAGTCGTCAATCCAGGCTATGACAGGGTTCATGGGACGCCCTCTCGATTGACAGCTTCAACAAGCTCGCGGACAATATACCATGGCGTCTTAACTCGCTAACCATACTCGATATTATTTAGTCGACATTTGTGACTGAGTGACTCTTGAAAGTTCAATACGAAACATTTTGTGTGTTAAAATGACCAAGGTTACAAATTGGAACCAAGACAGTAATCTTTTAGGCCCCATAAGCCAGTTTGGTTTAAAACAGAATATACAGTTTCTAAGGGTTAACTGTGGTTTGATTTTCTTTCTGATATGTTTGGAAGAGAGAGATTTGAATATTAATTTGATTGTAAATTGTTATGTAATTCAGCTGAAACTGCGATATAATAATAAAACAAATTGAACTGAACTGAACAATCAAAGTGTCAATTATTTCATGAACAGAGGTTAAAAAATATTCCAACTGTATGGGCAAGAGTCTGTAATGCCTAATTTATCTCTGATCTCTATTATCTATTTCGTGATGGTATAAGTTTGTTCCTTTGTGTCGGCTGTTTTTCAATCATTTAGTTATTCTGAGATGCAGTGAACAACTTAATTAGCCCATCAAAGCTTTCACGTGAGAGTCTTCTGTTTCAGCACAATTTGTCTTAATATTTGGTAACGCTATGAGTTTTTTGTAGGTATATAGTGTAAGTGTGTTTATTCGGACTTTGAGTCCATTTAGCTATTATAGCCATTCTAATCGATGAACATCGAACGAACAGAAGTTCAGGTAAATATGTAAATCCCCCGATGGACCTTGTAACGCGAGCTCACGAGTGGGAGGAGCGCGATGTTTTTACAAATATTGAGAAGAGGAGGTGTCGACAATTCAACCCCATATCACAGATTAAGAGGTTGGGTACAATCCCAAAATTCCTTTATATTTGCACCATCTGTTCATGGGTCAGCCTTTCTGTAAACCCTTAAGACAATCGCCTATTTTTCCAACCGAAATTAAAAGCCAACGCCCTTAATTTCCTACCTCGTATATACTTACTCCAAAATAAGGCCGGTTTTATTTGAACAATAACTTAATCAGTCATGAAATCATTTCAACTTTTCATCCTCGATTTTTGATAATCCAATCGTCGAAGTTGACGAATTCCCTATTAAGGGTTAATTGAACTGTATGTGGGTCTTTATGAGGACAGTAAATCACGCTGTCATCGATATACAAATGAAGGTTCCATAAATGAAATACTGAGGGTAAATCGTTGATGAATATGATGAATAATAGTGGACCCAAAATAGATCCTTGAGGTACCCCGATAGGCTCGATAGGTAATTCTTCGGAAATACAGTTGCCTATACAATTTATTCTCCGATCTGAAAGTTAGTTTTATAAACCATGATCCCTATTCTTGTCAAATCTTTTTTGTAGATCTACAACAACAGCAAAAAATCGGTAAACGATCCCTCATCAATAGCCTCCAACCATTAATCAATGCCGTAGAAGTAGAGTGTTTTGGACGAAAATCCGATTGCTCTACTGAAAGTACGTTGTTTCTATTCAAGTGCTGCACAAACTATTTTTAGATCACCCTTTTCACCCTTTTGCAAAACATGCATAATATCGTGATCATGGTACCAATCAATAGTGAACAAAAAGAAAGCGTGGTACAAATAAAACCACACCCAATTTAATATGATACGATTTATATACTCAGGCTTAAACTTAGGTCGAGATTTCGGACTGCCCTTTAACACCCCGTGTTTACCACATAGTGAACCACACTGTGGTACCACATAGTCAAACACAGTGTGGTACCACAGCGTGCTACCACATGTGGGCCACATGTGATTTTGGGACGAGTGGTAACACTATAGTGTACAATGTGGTTGATATCACAGTGTGGGCCTCATGTGATTTTGGGACATGTGGTAACGCTGTGGTGTACTATGTGGTTGATACCACAGTGTGGGCCACATGTGATTTCGGGACATGTGGTAATGCTGTGGTGTACTATGTGGTGCGTACCACATTGTAGTGACGCTGTGGTATCAACTTTACCACATAGTACACCACAGCGTTACCACATGTCCCAAAATCACATGTGGCCCACACTGTGGTATCAACCACATAGTATACCACAGCGTTACCACACTGTGGTACGTACCACATAGTACACCACAGCGTTACCACACGTCCCAAAATCACATGTGGTGGCACATATAACACGTAGTCTCCACACTGTGGCATCTACCACATAGTCTGGTAAATTGTGGCATCCACCACATAGTCTACCACACATTTACCACATAGTCTACCACATCCACCAGATGATAAAATTAATTAGTACTTTACGCTATAAGTAGCAATTGTACTAATTAATTTTGCCAATAGCAACAATTAACACAGCATCACTGGACCATCTGCTATTTCCAATGTAAAGGCATTGGTAATGGGGAGACTTGTTTCTGTCTTACAACTTTCCATATAGGTTACTTGTATTTTATTGAATATATTTTAGTTCATAATTAATATTTTCCTAATTGATGTTTAATTAAATGTAATTTAAACAAAGTAGTGAAATGTCCTGATAAATGGCAATTTATATTGTGTAAGACTTTTGAATGAATGAATTGCATATAACTAAACCATCAGTAATTTAGAAATATGCTTTAAACGCAGATACATTGTATAAAAACATAGATCTGCACGCGCCCCGTATTCATTATGCAAATGAACTGCTGTCATCTGGTTCAACTGAAAATAAGCCCACGGACCAGTTGTCAACTGGTGCAACTGGAAATATGCCAAAAGTCAGAAATTAACTGGTTTAACTGGAAATAGGCCCACAGGCTATGTGGATATTACTCTGTGGTAAACCACATGATCTCAAAATCTCACACTGTGAAGATACTATGATCACAGAGTTTGCACGTAGGTAGATAAATACCACACTGTTGCAAATATTTGTCAATCTGTGTTAAATATGTACGACTATGTGGTAAACCACATAATTTGAGCCCCACACTGTGATAATACTGTGAACACAGAGTTTACACATAGCTCAGTACATACCACACTGTGGTACATAGGTATCACTCCGAGTTAAATATGTACGACTATGTGGACAATGTGGTAAACCACATGATTTGAACCACATACTGTGACAATACTGTGAACACACAGTTTACACATAGCTCAGCACATACCACACTGTGGTACATATATGTCACTCTGTGTTACATGTGTACGACTATGTGGTGAACCACATGATTTGACCCCAAACTGTGACAATACTGTGACCACAGAGTTAACACATAGTTCAATACATATACCACTGTGGTAAATATGTGGTACTCTGTTTCAAGTATGTCAGTTTATGTGGATATTATGTGGTAAACTACATGGACTGAAACTCCACACTGTGACAACAATGTGAACACATAATGTCCACACAGTTTACACATAGTTGACTATGTGAACATAGTGTGGCAACACTGTGATTGTTCCATAAGAGTTTAAAGCCGCTCTAATAATCTATCGAGGTATAGAAATACATGGTATAATCAAATGTTACCAATTTCATCCGGAAAAACTCGTCTGCCTATTAGTATTACTAGCCTTTTTTTTCATATAGTAGACACCGGTTGCACAGCTACATAGGGCACGTGACCCCTCCCCCCCCCCCCCAACACCAATCGAAAGGTAAAAGAGAAAGGGAAAGGGAGGAGGGCAAAGTACGAGAAAATTAAGACACGTGGACCACTAACGCACCCCATCCCCAGTTGGGCTTGCAAATTCGCATTTCAATTTCTGGGCCTACCTATATTGCCCCCCCCCCCACACACACACACATTATTCCAGTCCCTCCTTATTGGTGGACTCTATACGCAACTGCGCGACATGCTAGATCATGTAGTATTTCTTCCTTGATCATATCCTATGCGGGTTAGGTATATAACTGCGTACGTGTCGTGTTATTATAAAAGAATTTATAAACCACACTATACAAATATTTGATCCCAGTCTGTGCTATGACATTGAGGACTTTTAGATTTGCGTGGACTGATACATGTGATGTCCATTCAAGGCAGTGCATTATCAGGACGTCGATCGTAGCCATCCACGTTGTCAATGTGCAAATCTAAAAGTCCCTATTAACGGCACGTTAGCTGCACCCACACGACACACCTCACTGAGCTTGAATTCTACAGATTGTGGCAACATTCCTTCTCGAAATTTCTGCAGACTTTTCTAAAGAGTGTCGGGTAAACTGGACCCAATACGTACCTAATGGCAATACTTATAGTGAACAAGGCGAACGAGTTGCTGAATTGCACCCACATTACACACGCAGAAATGTTAAATCCTCAAAATGCATCCAATTGTACTAGTATCAATACATGTAATGTCGTTTGCTGCTCTATAGAATACTAAATGCATGTAGCTTGACTCAATGATATGCCCTTTCGTTCTACTGTGTAGATTTTGTCAGTGCTCACTTCATAATGACCTTCCCACATCGTGTGCACATGCACGAATCAAAATTGTCGGGGATTCCCCATGACGTCGCCGTGTCTACACAGTGATGCATAAGCCTAGGCCAAAGGACAAAATAACGCCCCCACCGAATTTTGGTGCCGCTTCAGTATATGTTTCTTAATTATTGTATAGAAATCATAGTTATACTTGAAGTCAGCGTTACATCAGGGCATTCTAAAATCCTTGTTATTGTCAGGTATAGAAATGTGTTCATTGACATGTGAGTGTGCTTAAAATGTTGCTGATATAGCAATAAGTATTACAAAACTTGTTTGTCCCACAGTCACTCACTGAATATAGGAAACGTAGCTGTGCCTACTATGGTCCGCTGTTGTATAACAAACTCCCAATTTCTGTTCAGTCATGCACATCATTACAGTTGTACAAAAAGCAATGCCGTCTTTTTATGCATTTACTGCGACTCTTTAACCTTTTTTGTAAACTCTCAAAAGTGCAATAGGCCTTCTGCACTCTATTCCTTTAATAATTAATTTATTAATTAAGTCTACATGGGAAGATAGACGAAATTCGTTTTCTGACCTCTAAGATCAATCTTGATATATTATGTCTTACTGAGACATGGTTGCATGACATGATAGATGATAGCGTAGTTAAAATGATGGCTATCACTTAATAAGAAGAGACAGGAATAACAGCACTAGAGGAGGTGGTGTCTGTATATATGTTCGTAATATCATTGTTTTTTCAGAAAGATATAACTTGTTAAGTATTAACGTAGAGGCCACTTGGATTGAATTATCATTGAAATCTGATAAACTTATCATTGGGTGTTTATATAGACCACCGAATTCTGACTCTTCTTATTTTGATAATATGCTGAATATTTTTGAGAAAGTAGCATCTGAAGATAAGGACCTAGTTATATTGGGTGATTTTAATTAATATGATTATAAGTTTGATGCTGCAAGTTTTAGTGATAATCCTGTTAATATGATTGAAAATCTCTTCTCATTAACACAATTGATCCATAAACCCACCAGGGTTACAGGCACCTCTTCTAAATGTTTAGACCATATTCTTACTTCTGTACCAGATAAGCATATACTAAGTGACGTAGCTAAGATATCCTTAAGTGATCATTACTTTATATACACATGTATAAATGTCAACAATACTTCTAAGAATGTTCATAATGTAATACGATTTAGAGACTATAAGAATTTTAACGAGAATGCTTTTATTGATGATTTAAAACATTCTGACGTACTTAATAATAATTGTACTTTTTGTATTCCCCTACGAGAAAAGTGGGTTGAATGGAAACAGGCTTTTTTAAATTGTTGTAACAAACATGCTCCTGTAAAAGAATGTCGGGTTAAAACTAGGCACTGCCCATGGATAAATTCTAATATTATTAAACTCATTTATAAAAGAGACTACTTAAAGAAAAAATATGATAGACTAAAAATTCCATATCTATTGACTGAATATCGAAATCTCAGGAATTCAGTCACCAAGCTCATACGAAAAGAGAAGAGAGAATATTTTGATTCAGTATCTGAGAGATACAGTAATGATAGTAAGAAGTTATGGAAGGAGTTAAGCAAAATTACTGGAAGGGGGAAAAAAGACTCTGTTTTACCATCTGATTTAGACAGTAATAAATTGAACGATTATTTTGTAAAATATTGGTAAAAAGATTTCAGAAACTTTCAGTAATCACGATTTATCATGGAACCACCCTGAAAGTATACATACCTTTGTCTTGAAATCAATTAGTCCCGGGAAAACTAAACATAATCTCTCTCTATTGTCGAAAGAGAGTAGCCTTGATATCTTAGAATTTGATAGAAAATTACTTCAAATCTCAGCTCCTTATATTAATATTTCTCTTAATTGTCTTTTTAATGAAAGTTTAAATTGTGGATTTTTACCTAATGATTGGAAATTGGCCAGAACTACGCCTGTTTATAAAGGTAAAGGCGATAAAAATAATATTTCAAATTATAGACCCATCTCAGTTGTATGTCATATTGCTAAACTGCTTGAAAAGGAAGTTCAGTCTCAATTTTTATCTTACTTGCAGACTAATCATCTTATTAGTGTTGACCAATATGCTTTTTTGCCAAATCATTCAACGAATACATGTTTACATAGAGTCATTGATGACTGGTACGAATCTTTTAATGAAAAAGAAAAAGTTGGTGCATGTTTTCTTGATATTTCTAAATGTTTTGATTGTATTGACCATGAACTTTTGTTGTCCAAATTGAATAAGTATGGTATTTTAAATACTGAACTTAAATGGTTTTCTAGCTTTTTATCTGGTCGGAAACAAGCAGTTTATTGTCATGGTAAACTGTCCGAATCAAAGGACATAACTATAGGAATTCCTCAGGGGAGTATTTTAGGCCCCTCACTCTTTCTTGTTTTTATAAATGATATAACTGATTGCTTACGATTAAGTACATGTAATATATACGCTGATGATGTTGTCTTATATGTTTCTGATATGGATATTAATGTCATTACATCTAAGCTCCAAGCAGATTTGTATGCTATAAATGAATGGTATTGTAAAAATAGATTACGTATTAATACTAATAAGAGTAATATTATGCTGTTGAGTAGTAACACACGAGGTAACGATGAATTAAGTCTGAAGGTACATATTGATACTGAAACAGTAGAACAAGTAAGAAGTATCAGATATTTAGGGATTGAAATTGATGATAGATTATCTTGGGATATCCACATTAAATCTCTTACCAAATCATTAAGTTATAAGATTTTTACTTTGAGAAAGCTCAGTAAATTTGTAAGCTCTACCATTTTAAATAAAATATACAAATGTACCATACAGCCAATCTTAGATTATTCTTGTTCCGTATGGGGAAACTGTTCTTTACAAAACAGAAATATTCTTTTAAGACTGCAAAAAAGAGCTGCACGTATTGTCGTAGGGAATTTTGATTATAATGTAAATAGCTTGAGTATAATAAATTCATTAAAATGGCAATCCATTGACACTAGACGGGACTATTTTTTATCATGTATAATGTACAACTGTATTCATGGAAAAGCCCCAGTACGATTATGCAATGAAGTGGAAATGGTTTTTGACAGACATGGTTTTAACACTAGACTTGCCAATACGCTAAATGTTGTTTTACCTAAGCCTAATCTTGAATGTTTTAAGAATTGTTTTAGATACGCTGGAGGTAAAATCTGGAATAGTCTACCTTCTGCTTTTCAAAATGCTAAATCTATCGATGATTTTTTTAAACGTATGTACAAGGACAATTTTTTTAAACCTGTGTAATACAATGCCGATTCATTTACTGCTTTGACATGGCTTATCTTTCTCTCTCTCTCTCTCTCTCTCTCTCTTTCTTTTTCTCTCTCTCTCTCCATTTCCCTCTCCCCTCTTTCTTTCTTTATTTCCCTCTCCCTCTTTCTTTCTTTCCCTCTTTCCTCCTTTACTTTTTACCAGTTTCCTTATATCTTCTCTCCTCTTCTATTTTTAGGGTGATATTTAATGCCTTTTATTAAATGTGATTTGATATTTTTTTCCTCTGTTAATTTCATTTATTTCATTATCGTTTTTGTTTGTTTTTTGTTTTGTTGTGCTTTTTACTATTTTTAATGCGTATTATGCTTATATGTTAGTTTTATACTGTTCTTACCTTTGCCTGTGAGCTTTGGTGATATTCGTTATTTATATTTCCGTGTTTTATCCTGTTCAGGACCATGATGTAAAACAGATTTTGTATCTACAATGTATATCTGATTCTTGATATCCTGATTAAATATATTTCAATAAAAATAAATCAATCAACATACTTTAAATGAATACAAAACAAAGTGCATCTTAAATAAAACAAAAATAAATAAATAGTTAACAATACAGAAAAGATGTAGCTGCTGCAAGCTTAACAACAAACTAATGTATACCAGTCAGTCCTGATATCAGTATTAGTGTAACAATAGTCATATAGTGGGAGCATGAAGTTGAACAATTCATGACTATACATAATTATATATGTTTGTTTGAATAATACTTGTTATAAGATAGTAGTATGGTACTCTCTGTAACGAATTATTATGTATACTGTTGTATCACATTAATTTTCTATTCTGTTTTAGAATTGGCTTTCACCGTGTGAATGCGGCTAACAATAAACACAATTACAATAATGATGAGGATTATTATTATCATCATCATAATTATTATTATTATTAATATTATAATTGTTATCATTAGGTGATACGTACGTAGACGTATCACCTTTTGATTTCGTCAAGATTTTTATTATTTATTTATTTATTTATTAGGTGATACGTAACGAAGTCAACGTATCACCTTTTGATTTCGTCAAGATTTTTCTTTATTATTATTATTATTATTATTATTTATTTTTATTATTCTTCCTCGAATTTGTTCGCAGGATATCTCAAGACTGAATAAAGCCATTATCATGAAACTTTCAATGATGATAGATCTTAGTCTAACTTAGAACTGTGTGACTTTTCAGACAGTCAGGTCATCGTGACGTCATCCAGGCGCCATTTTGTGAAAATCAACTTATGATCATATCTTCATAAAGGAAAGCCATTTTTCATTCATATTTATCATGATTAAACTCAATATCCGTCCGGTCAATTTCAAGTCAATAAATGCGCGCAAAAATGCGCGTACGCTTATGTCCGCGCGTTTACGCGCGCGAAAAAAATTAAAATGCTCCAAATCATCCCAATTTTTTTTTACATCCGTTTCAGGCCATATGGAGCATTTGATAAAAAAATACGCACACGCGCATGCGCGCGCATTTTCGCGCGTACTGGCATTTTGCAATATAGAATCGCCGAATTTTTTCTGTCATTATATTTGATACATTTTTCCAAGCATTTTGATAACTTGTTCACCTTTTAATAACGCAATGAGCGTCCGTCAAAGTTGACAGCACGCGCAGATCTGCGTTATCTTTATCCACCATACATTGG